GGAGCCAAAAGCCTCAACGACCCCCAAGCGGCAACCCAGCAGCAAGGGTTGCGGACGCGCCACCTCTACGCAGGCTGAAGAGCGAACAAACCGAACGGAAAGCGCCAAACACACTCCACAAGAACTAGGTCAAACCAGCGTTCCCCAACCGCGCATAGACTGACCCACCGGCCACAGACGCGACAGATCACGCAACAGACGCTGATGGACGCCCACTGAAGAAGGGACGGCAGACGATCGAAAATGCCAAAACATGTGCCCGCTCAGGGGTGACCAAACGGCCAACTAGGGGCCTGAACTGAAACACCGGCTGTGAAACAACGACCGCTCCACGCGCCCAGGTCACCGACAACAGAGAAATCGGACAAGAGACCCGACACGACAAACAGAAACCAAACACGACAAACAAGAAAGTAAAGGCCACTTCCGATCCAACGGGCACAACGGCCAACAGTTCAAAAGGGCATATGCTCAAAGGGGCCTTGCGTCGTTACATTGCCCCCCGCTTAGCAAAGGACGTCCTCGGCCAATTCACGAGCAAAGGAGCCCTCCCACCTCACGCTCTTCTAGCGTTGGATTATCCAATACACCGTCGTAAGCCGTCGGCCTTAGTTGCTGATAGTTTAAATAGGACGGCCCACCCGCAGATTACAGCGGAAGTCGTGCAGCCCCGTCTCGATACCATTGTATCACGGCAAAGGCGTAACAGGGGATATACTCAGATGGGCCTTCCGCCATTACACAGAGCTTCTGTGGACTTCTGCATGTCAAGGACATCCGGACACACCCAGGCACACACAACCTAACGGACCCATGGGTCGTCCATCGCACCATTCACCCTTCCTTCCTGCGACAATCCAACTTTAGCGCCGCCACATGTATTACATGTCAGGAGCTGGGACTTCACGATCACCCGTCGACCGGCACAGGGACCAACAGCGGCAGCGGTGCCGCCGGCGCCGCCAGCGCCGCCGCATTGTGGCTGGGGAAGCTGCTGCTGCGGCCGGATCATCTCCCAGCCGGGCTGCGACGACTGTCCCTCAGCCACGCCAACGTGCTGCATGTCCCCGGAGCCGGAGTACGGCAGATCCAAAGACTGGAGCTCAAGAGGGGATGCCGCTGGCAGGGCGGTGCATCACCGAATCGACCCTGCGGCAGCAGTGGAGGCGACGGCAGCGGAAGCGACGTTTAGCAGGCTTTCCGGGACTGGTCCTGCACCGAGCTCGCCGGGTGCTCCCGGGCATCTCCAAGGGCCCTGGAGATTGTACGGCGTGCCGTTTCTGACGCATCTGCAGCTGGCGTCGGTGGCGCTTGGGTCGACCGAGCTGAACGCCGTGTGTGGCAGCTGCGGCTGCCAGCTCCCATCGCTTTCTCTCTCTCGGCATTGCGGGCGGTCCCGAGAGACGGCCGAACCCCCTTGAGGTGGGTCTCCCAGGCTTGTACGGCAACAGGTGGCGGGGTGAGTGGAAGGCGTTTTATATAGGATGCATTAGGCGGCTCTCTATCTTCTGGCCCTGCTGTCTGCAGTGGGGCCTAGTATAGTTGTACCGCGATGTATTACTGTACCGTTTCCGAAAAAGTAGGGACCTGATTGGCTACCAGCTTGTCAGTTCACTTCGGAACGCGTGGAGCTGTTGTGGAGCTTGATGATTTTGTTCGCGCTTGCCGTTTGAGTGATTTACTTCATTCACCACAACCGCAACAGTTCCTCTGCGCCGCACTGCATCGCTCGTCCAAACGGCGCCATCAGATCTACTCCAGTAGATCGAGATCTCTTGACAGGTCCGCGCTCTGAGCCGTGAAGCTATGATCTGTCGCGGTTGGTGAACAACTGTCAACGGCCAGTTGAGACCGACATGCTGTGAACCCCCACGCTGTCGGAATGGCGCCCGTGGACAGTGAAGCCGTCCGGCTAGTCGGAGTCCTTCCCATTGTGCTGGCCACGATGCCTAATTTGGCGCAGCTGGTCTTAATCCTCCTGGAGTCGGCCGCCATGAGCATGGAAACCGCGGCGCCGCAACTGGATCAACCAATGTCAACCCCCCCCCGGAAAGGCCCCCGGAAACGCAAAGCTGTCGGCTCCATTCCCCGGAGCCCTTTGGATTGCGAACACGCTGGCGGGTGCACGGCTGTTCATCTGTGTTGGAAGGGAATATCGCCTACGTCTCCTAGTAAGACTCGGCGTGTCGTGCAAGTGGGGGGTTCGGAGTTGCGCATGGCTTGTAAAACGACCCGTAGGTCGTTACAACTTCCTACCTGTAGGTACGCAGCAGCTTCATTTGCTCCTGGCGTTCCTCAGCGAGCTGCTTCTGTTTGGGGTTTGTGCAAGGAAAGGGTGCCGGAAAGGGCAGCAAGAAGTAGCTCGTACAGGAAGGCACGTTGCATCTGAGTGTGTCGTGTTGTATCTGAATGACCCAGGAAGGCGAAAGGTTGTAGCGCTAAAGGCGGTGCAAATGGAGGCGCCTTAAGAGAGCCCCGCTGTTCCGGGGCCAGGATAGGACGAGCAGCGAGTAAGATGAGGTCAGGAGGACCAATGGATAGCATGAGGCTGTATACCTAACGCGCCCCGATGTTGGAGCCGGTCTACTGGGTGGCATGGCGTGTGTAGCATGGGAAGGTATGGATAGTCTAGGGAGCGCCGTTCCAACTGCTGAACCGTCGGATCATGAGCACACTGCACAATTTGCCATTTTGCTATTCGATTGAGGGGCGGCGACGGGCCGAGGAGATACACGACAAAAGTACATCCAAGCCACGATCGCATTTGCCTAAGGATTGACGGCGGATGGAGCCACCTGACGCTTGAGGTGCAGCCTCCAAGAAAGGAGGTCATCATCGTCGTCGCCGATTCTGCAATTTGGGGCGTGGTCAGCGAAGTCGTTGACCGCCTTCAAGACGCCCTGGAGCTGGTGGGATGAGGTGTCGAAGCTCTGCAGTGGTGGTATGTGTTGTGTGGGTTGGGGCTTTGGGTGGGTGGGTGGATGCGGTGGGTGCGGGGGAGGGCCGGCCGCACAGGCCGGAGGCCCCCCCCCCAGACCCAAAGCCCCGCTTGCGGGTTGAGGCACGGAGGAGGTCCCCGCATGCCACCGACACGGACCAGGTGTGACCAGCGCAACAATGTTTTGTTGTGCTGGTAACGGACGGGACGTAGCCCTTGGAGACGAGGAAGAGGACGAGGGCGCGGCATGGCGGCAGCGGCAGCATTAGAAAGAGGCGGATGAGGTGGTCGTTGGGGGGGGGGGTAGGGAGAGAAGAGAAGAGAAGAGAGGGCTTCTGGGCGGGCCGGTAATGCCGGTGATGTACCTAGGGCCGGGACTGGTTGGGGGGTGGGCAGGGGTGGCAGCGCATGGGGGCGGTGTCTGGGGCGAGGAGTGCCAGGTCCTCTGGGCCCGGAGGGCCTGGGACACCGACATAGCTACCGACATATCCACCGCCATATACGGGTACCAGCTCTAGGCGGCAGCTGCAGCAGTCCTCGAAAAAGAAGAAGGGGAGGAACAGGACGCGGAAAAACGGTTTATTGATGTGCAGGATGTATGAGGGAGGGGAAGGGGGGTTCCAGGAATGTCAACCAGCGGGTGGCAGCTAGCGGTCGGAGAGAGGTAATATGAGGGTGGGTGGGTGGGCGTACATTGAGCCGTACACGGTACTCGGTGGAAACGTTGATGCCGTTGACGATGTCGGTAGCGATGATGGCTACAAGGTAATGGTGGTGATGGGAGTGCAGATTGTTGGGGTGGTGGTGGTGGTGGTGGTGGTGATGGTGGTGGTGGTGGTGGTGGTGCGGAGTCCTGATTGAGGGGGACGAGAGGGGGCGGGCTGTGGAGGGGGGATACGGTCACTGAGGACGTGCAGGAGGCAGAGGAGGCAGCGGAACCCCACAGACAGCAGGTGTGGTGTGGTTGGTGTGGCGTCAGCGTCGCACGCATTATTAGTAATTTCGTTTTATCATCTCTGTCTGCGGCGGCCTTCAGGTTTGGGACGGCTGACCATTGCTGTGAAATGCGGAATGCACAGCGGCGCAAACGGTGGCGATATTGCCTTTTTGTTGCGCTGTGGCCGTGCTGCTGCTGGTGTTCTGTAACATTGCTGAGTAGGTGTAGAGGGGATGAGGGAAGACCTCATGAAGCCCGGGTTGTGCCGCGGCTGCTGCTCCTGCTGCTACTACCACCACCATGTTGCATGACATGCCAGGGATGCTCTCCCACCTCCACCACCACCTCGCCAAGGAAAGGAACGGGGAAATAAACGAATTCGCGAACCAATTATGATGATGGCGATAAGAGCGGAGTGAATGTTTGTGTACGAGAGTATATGCGTTGGTGCCGTACGGTTTGGAGGAGCGGGGATGTATCATTGGTCGGTGCAGGCGGAGGAAACGGCTCCACGGGGGTTTGGGATATCCTGTCTATGGCCCACCGGGGGAGGGGAAAAAAGGAGGAAGTCAGAGGGCAGCAGCAGATTCTTTCCCTTCTTTCCTCATCTGTGTCGCGAAATACATCGATAAATCTTCACTTCATATAAGCCTCATAAATTTGATAAGGGGAAACGTCTTAGTTCGTCCAAATTTGAGCCACTTAAACAAAAAATACTAAGCTGGAAATGTCGAACGTTGAAAACCAGGGCAGATGCAAACCGATCAAAACGAGGCTGCGCAAGGAACTGCAGCTATCCACAACGTGGTAAAATAGAACGAAGGCACTTGGAATTACCGTAACATTCAAAAGTATAAAATGGCAGGTTCATACTGAAGTTGACCCTCAGCGTCAATTTTGTCGGCGAGTATATTGGCTATCATAACATGGCCCAAATACCCTAACGTTTGCCTTCGTTGCTTTGCAGCAGAGCGCAAGGACAGTGATAAAAAAAAGCAGCACATCGCCTGATCAGTGATGACCGCGAGAAAAAAAATTCTTTCCTTAGCGCCACAGCGGTATTCTGAATATGCTGAACTCATCAAATGTACCCTATCCACAGGAAGAAGAGGAGTTAAACTCTCACTCTCAGCACCAGACCGCAGGCGGCACATGCTTTCTGCCTCACCCCCTTGTCCCACTTTTTCTTCACGAGGCGCCATCTTGTCAAGGGCCCCCGCCCACACATGCCCACCCGAGCACACGCGCCGGCTGATCACCACCACACAGCCGCTGCGATTCAAACGCCGGAAGTCTCGGGCTGGTCCTCAGGCTCCCCCCGACACCGATATCGCTATCTTCCAAAAAGTGTCTTGCGCATTTCGTCATGATCATCATCACCATTCATGATTGTGTATAAAATATCCATATGTAATAGACCATGTCAACTCTCCTACCTTGACATGACATCATAAACAAAACCACAATCGGATGATGGACTTGATGACGACTCCAACTATGACGTTTTACCACAGCGGTATTACCAAAAACTGCAAAAGTGCAGTGGTAGCGCACAACTAACTAATACAAACGCTTGTGTTTTGTTCGACAACAGCTGACATCTGACGCCGTCTGACCACAACGGTCACCTAGTCTTCCTTCTTGCCAACTGTCCATCAACCCTGCCAAATAACTGCCCATTCACTGCCAACGTGCCGTCGGCAAAACTTGATGGTCTTTCTCCAACACACACCACCGCACACGTGTACTACCAGAGCGACCACATACACGCACACGCAAACGTGCACACGCACAAGCCACGTCACCCAAACGGGTGTACGGCCCTGCTCGGAGATGGGAGTGTGCCGTACAGCCCACAGCCCGTCCCCCCGCACATACATATATACATACATACAATTCAGGCACTACTGGTAACTACGCATACACCGATGCCCCCGGAGGTTCCGGGATCGAGACCTGTCAGGTCGAAAATCCTTCCGATGGTGGAAAGTAATAATGTCCCTAGTCAATGGACGGTGGTGACCTGGGATTAAGTTGACTCGCGAGCTGACCAGGAATGGAAATGAGCCGCCGTTGATCCGGCAGATCAGTGGTGGGTGTGGAACCTAAGCGATCCACTGAGAAGTTGACTAGGGTGACTAGATGAGGGTGCCCCGAAATACCAGGCAAGGCAGGGTTTCGCCGGGTAGCTGCCACGGGTGAAGATGTGCCCCCTTGTCCCACACGTCACACATAGGGACCATCATCTTCACGCGCCGCCGCCGCCAGCGACAGCCGGACGCCCGTCCGGCCTCACCCCCATCCCCGTCCCCGTCCCCGTCCCCGCCACCGCCACGTCCGTCAGTCGCCCATCCACCACTATCTGCAGCCGCCTCAAGCCCCCCATGAACCTCCGGAGGTGAAGCGCCCCAGCCACCGTCGGGCCCTGGGCCATAAAACACACCTTTTCCAGGCTCCGAGACCAGTCACTCCATCCCATGGCGGCGACAGCAGTGCCGCCGCCTGCGGCGGGGGCAGCGGCGGCGGCAGCGGCGGCGGCGGAGCCGCCGCTGATGCTATTAGCTCCTGCCGGCACCATCACAACCCACGACCCGGGCTGGCCGGTTGCCGTACCCGCCGCCGCCGCAATGGCGGCAACCGACGGACCATTACCCCTCGACCCTGCACCTCCTCCTCCAGCATCATAACCAGGTACTGAGCCGTCACCAGCGCCGCCATAGGAGGCTAAACCCGCCGGCGGTTGCTGCTGCAGCTGCAGTGGCAGTGGCAGCGGCGGCGGCGACGGCGGCGGCTGGTGCCTGACCATTGCGTTGAAGCTGGGGTCCAGCACTAAGGGGGTAGCGAGGCTGTCAGGGTCGCCGGATGCGCCCGCCCAACAACGGAGTACGTGGTCGGAGCAGGACGCCGCCGCGCCGCCACCCACCCGGAGCTCCCTCAGCCGCGGGACCACCCGCGGCAGCTTCGTCAACGCGGGCCACAGGAAGCGCAACCCGCCGAGGAAGCTGTACGGCGGTACGGACAGCCACGCGGGGGAGTCCAGCGCACCCGCCGCCGCCGCCGCAGCAGCAACCGTTGCCGCCGGTAAAGCCGGCGACAGGGGGCCCAGTTGCGCAGGTGGCACTGCCGCCGCCGCCGCTGTCGTTGTTGGCGGGTCGTCGGCGCAGCAGTGGCGGCGCCGGGGGTAGGCGGTGGCGGCGTATGACGCCAGTACGTCGGCGGGGCGGTGAAACGTGCCGATGTTGAGGGTGAGGCCGGTGACGGAGGCGGGCAAACACACGACCAGTGGTTCTAGAGCCTCGGCACTTAGGCCAAAGCTGAGCCGTACGGACGAAAGACAGCTGTACCCACCGCCGCCGCCGTCACCTTGCTCGTCCCAACCACGCCCGCTGTAGGGCCCAGCCTCCCCGTCACCTCTGTTGCTGCCACCGCCTCTACCGCCATCGCCATCCGAACCCACTGTTGACGACGACGACGACGGGTGAGGCGACGGGTGAGGAGGCGGCGGCGGCGGCCGCTGCAAGGTAGTAAAGGCACGGTCTGAGGTAAACGACAGCCTCCGCAGCTGCGGCTGCCTCAGCATCCACAGTACGGAATCCAGCGGTGAAAATGGCTCTTCCTCAAACTGCTCTTCCGTAACAACCTTGTCACCGCCGTCGCCGCCGCCGTGGCTGTCGATGTACGTGTCGTCGGGCCCAACACGATGCCGACAGAGGCCGGTGGACGGCCACGAGGGGACGATGGCGCGCTGCTCCGCTACGATCAAGTGTCGCAGCCGGGGCAGTCCACGCCCGCCCACCACCACCGCCTTCAGCGACCCAAGATCCATAAGGCCCTCCAAATCTAGCACAAGGCGCTCCAATGCCGCCAGGGAGGCTGGCGGCGGTTGCTGCTGCTGGTGCTGCTGTACAGCGGCGGTGCTGGCCCCCGCATCTCCTCCTCCTCCTCCTCCCCTTCGGGATGATGACTCGACCGCCGCTGTCGCCCTTGCAGTTGCTAGCTGCAATGCCCTCAACGCGCCAGGGGCCGACACGCCACTGAGCTCCAGGGAGGAAAGGCGGGGCAGGCGGCGCAGCGCGGCGCCCAGGCAGGCGGCGCACAGCTGGTCAACGACCCCGCCGCCGCCGCCGCAACCATTGCCGCATTCACCGCCGTCGTTGTTACCACTGCCACATGCACGGTGCTGCCATTTCGGCACATCGGCTGCCTCTCCACGGGGTTCCATTGTACTGAGCGCGCCGCCGATATCGAAGTCGTGACCCGTGGGTCGGTCGTCACCGCCGCTCTGCAGCAGCCCCAGGCGCAGCGATGTCAAGCCCGTGGGTAGGGCCCAGAATACCGAGCACCAGCCGGTAGCCCCAGGCAACCCATCACCGCCTGCATCACCGCCTGCATCGCTCACCGCTCGCGCCGCCGCCGCCGCCGCCGCCGCCGCCTCGGGATGAGGCCGCGGTGCCGTGACACGGAAAGGACGCCGCCGCAACGGCGGTGGTGGCGGCAGCACCGTCACTCGCAGCAAAGCCAGCTCCTGAAGCCCTGGGGCGCGCTGTAGCACCCGCGCCAGGAGCTCCAGGGTGGGGCACCAGGACGCCGCCACCGTCGCTGTCGCCGTCATCAATTCAGCATCCCGGCACGTCGGCCCTGGCCAATCCGGCCGCCGCCGCCCCTGCCATGGACGTTGCTGCTGATCTTTAACTTTTGGAGACAGCTGCGCATCGCTGCTGCAGTCGCAGGCGGTGCGAACGAGCTCCCCGTGCTTTTCTAAGCTGTGCGACCCGTGGGTCTGCGGCAAACCGCTGTGCCTGCAGGCCGCTACGATGTATGACCCATGGGTCTGCATCCCGACCACCAAGCCGTCCAGCTTCAGGGAGCGCAGGTGCTGGGGCCGGAGGGAGGAGAGAAACGTGCGCCAGTAGCAGCAGGTCAAGGAGGAGAAGGAGGGCGTAGGTGGAGGCGGCAGCGGCGGCTGTGGAGTAGCTGTGGTGGCGAGAGCTTTGGAGGGGAGTGCGGGGGGAGGGAGGGTGCGGCTGGTGGGTGGGAAGGTCCTGGCAGGTGAGAGGTCCGAGTCGTTATAGTTCTCGTTGTAATCCTGGGTAATGTCCACGATGGCCAGGGCTGGTAGCCGGCGGAGAAGGGCTGCGAGGTGCTGGGGCTGGGGGATATTTTGTTGGGACGGATGGGCGGGCAAGAGAACCTGCAGGGGGCGAAGGCAGGAAAAGCACTTTCGGAATGTGAAAGAGGGATATATGCAATACAATTGATCTGTAAACGCCGCTGCCGCGCTGGCCTGGCGTCGCACGGTGCAGTGCGAGACAAGCATTTCTCTGAGACAATGAGGAACCCAGCTCCTTGGCGAGGCAGAAGATGTCACATGATGGGTTAGACAAATTGAATTATTACCTCGATTGGCTTTCAGTTATCGAGCTTGTACAGAACAGATCTCTTGTAAACTTTCGCACAACTCCGAAACGAAAGTTTACCTGCAGGCGTCTCCGCTCGGCATCAGCAGCCAGGCGAGATTCATGGCATACGAGACGCAGCAAGGGCGAAAATTCATCTCCAATCGTGCAGATCAGTGGACGGCAAGCAGAAGCGAACGACAAGTTTGGACTCAACGCTTCCTGATCAATACAGTCTTTATCGTCTACTGTCATTTGTGAGGTTTAGAGGTTCATGCATCGCAGTGTGTTCCGGAAGTCCTGGTGCATCAGGGCTGCCGAAGGGGTTTTCTTGCCGTTATCGGCCCCCGTACAACGAACATTTCAGTGCGCTTGCATACGTCCATCAGCGTGTATCACATCCGGTATCACTGGCGTTAAACAGTACAGGCTTGCTCTTTTTGCCAATACCTTCTAATTGGATAGACATCGTTAACCCTCTATGCAACCAATATTTTGCAGGATCAACACATTTTGAACCTTTTTTACTTATATAGATATTTACTACTTAAGCTTAACTAACGACGCCGCTTGCTGGAGACAATAGGAGTCGGACCTCCTAGTTTTGTCCTTAGAGAAGTCGCTGTGTTCAATGACACAGGCAAATAGCTTGCGTATGGAGCCCGTTATGAATCAATAGCATATTCTCATCATCATTCATACATTTGGGGACTAACGCGTTTTATGTCTCTGCCTCGTCGCATCGCAATTAGCGCCCCTTCCTCGATTGGGCGCCCAGCCCGCCCGACACTACTGCATAACCTCGTTCTCCGCCTACGCCAACCAGCATCACCTCTACCACAGGGTCCATGGCCCTGCCGCCCTTGGCGCCGCCGCGCTCGGCCAGCCCCGACCGCGCCGCCTCGCCTCCCACCATCTCCCCCCGCGGCTCCCGTATAAGCTCCATCGCCCCCTTGGCCTCCTTCCGCGCCACAATCACCTCCGAAACAAACCTTGGCAGCCCCACCACGGGAAACACCCGAGGCAGCGCCGTACAAGGCGCTCGCAGCACCTCCGGGGGTTTACCACCTGCCACGACCGCCTCCATCACCGCCCAAACCACCTCCCCCGCCTCCTCCCCCTCCCTCTCCCCAGCCCGCCGCGGCTCCGCCCCCTCCACCGCCGCCGTCGGCCCACGGGTCGCCAGCGGTCCGCGCAAACTCACCCACTCCCAGCTGGCGGCGCAGCTACACGGACAGTTGACGGACGTCTTACGAATGGAATGGAGGCGGATTAAAACCAGCAATCTAGGTGTGTACGACATGTGGTCTCGATGTGTGTGAACGACATGCCGTGTACGACGTCTGTGCGTTGGGAGTTAAGAGAGAGGCGTGTTCAATTGCCCTCTTCTTTCCTGGCTTCCCCCGGCTTACCCCTCCGCGGGAGCTTCGAACGCCAACACACACACCTCCCCTTCCCCTTTCCCCTCCCCCTCCCCTCCCCCTCCCCCTCTCCCCCCCTCCCCCTCTCCCCCCTCCCCCTCTCCCCCCTCCTACTCCCCCCCCCAGGTGTTCTCTCCGGCACTGCGGTCGTTGAGGAGCTCCTCCTCCGCCGCATCCGGTCCTGGTGCTCGGAGCTGCACATGCTGGCCATATCCTCTCCCACAGCATCTTACAAACTGGGGAAGCTGTGTCAGAGTATGGAGGGAACGGAGCTGCAGCAACTGCTGGTGAGCGTCGTATAAGTATGCGAGAGGGTGGGGGTGGGGGTGGGGTTAGGGGGGCTGCATGGGCTGTGTGGGGCCGCGGAGATGCTGAAGGGCAGGGGGTCGGGTTGGGACTTGGGGAGCTGGAGGTCCACCGTGTGGAGATCAGGAGAGGCAAGTTGATGACAGTGCAGCAGCTGTTGGCGGGCAGTTGGCTCATTGCGTGGTCAATGGCATCATTCTTTCCCCCCACCCTCCTCTCCCCTCTCTTAACACCCTCCTCTCCCCTCCCCCCCCTCTCCTTCACACGCAAAACCCACCTCCGCGATACCCCACATCCCCACATCGGCGACAGGTTATGTTCGACCAGACGGGCCACCCAGACCTCTCCGACTTTGTTCGTGTGTTGGTGTTCAACACGGCCGACCCTGCCGCCAAGGAGGCGGTGGGGGACCTGCGGGCGCTGAGAGGGATTAAGTCGGCGGGGAGGAGAGGTAGGGTACGACATGGCGGTGTATACGGGTTCGTGGACCCTAGGGACAGTGTTGGGTTGTGTTGGGGGGAAGGGGGCGAGGGTTTACGACGGCGGTGGCGGCGGCGGCGGAGGAGGAGGAGGAGGAAGGGAACATGATGCATCATTCCAGTACACACACACACACACACACACCGACCAACTTTATTCCCCCGACCCCCCCCGGCGTCTCCCCCCATCCAACTTCATCACAGCTCGCAGCACTCCCAGTACGAGCGGCAGCAGCCGGCGCCGCGCCCCGCCCGTCCTCCTCCCCACCCCCCGCACCGTGTCACACGAACCCGATGACCCCGCTTCCCTGAGGTTCGCGGGGCTTCTCCCGGAGGGCCACAGGCTGGTGGCGGGGGCGCACGCCGCGGCGGAGAGGCGGCGGCAGCGGGAGGAGGACGAGCGGCGGGCGGCGGAGGCGAGGGAGGCGAGGGCGCGGGCGCGGTTTGAGGCGGCGGGGGGCCGGCGGAGATTGGGGCTTCACTGCGACAGGAGGTTGTCAGGTGTGCGTGTGTGTGTATGTGTGTATGTGGGTTGGGGGGGAAAGCTGGGGGTTGGGGTTCTAGGGTTTATTTGAGTGGTGGGTGGAGGGGGGAGAGAGGGGGGAGAGAGGAGGGTGGTGGGTGGGTGGGTTGCGGGCAAAAGAGGGAATGTGGATTTGCTTAGGGATCCAGAGGGGCGATGAAGGGAAGGGAGGGAAGGGGAGGGGGCCACCACCTCTCCAAAGAGTCTTACACTCAGCATGTCACACGGTACATACACGTCACCTACACACAAAAACACACAAAAACACACAAAAACACACAAAAACACACAAAAACACACAAAAACACACAAAAACACACAAAAACACACAAAAACACACCCCCACCCGCCTCCAGGCCCTCCAACTACCCCCCCCCTTCCCCCCTCCCCCCCTCCCCTGGTTCGTCTTTCCCCCCCTCCCCCCCCTCCTACGGCTCGCTCATCGGGTCATGTGGGCCCCCCAACTGTGAAGACTCATCCTCCTGGTCGTCCGTACTGCGAAGTCGGTCCGACAAACAGGAGCTATTGCCGTACTACCTGGCTGACGTGGAAGAGCAGTGGCGGCGAACCGTCGCGACCCGCGTCCCGGCGGAGGGTGTGTACGACTCGGTGATCATGTCGCATGAGGCCTTGCCAGTGTACGAATCAATGCCGGATGCGGCGCTTGTACGGCGGGAGGCGGAGGAGGCTGCGGCGGCGCCGGTAAGAGCTGTGGGGGCTGTGTGTTACCCGGGGTGGTGGTGGCGGGGGTTAGGGCTGTGGGGATGTAGCGGCCTGGCAGGATGCGGTGGGAGGGGGTTGGGATCTGATACGGAAAACTTAATAACCGAAGCTCAACTACCACCATAACCACCATAACCACCACCTGAAGTGTCCAACCCATGGTTCAAGGGTTCTGATGAGTGAGGAAGAAGGTGAAGAATGTGGGCTTCGCTTCCCTTGGTCAGTTGCCACAAAACCCTTCCCCCTTAACCACCCAACAACTACATAACCGCCTCCCTTACCTCTCGCTCGCAGCCATCGCGTCACGGCCTGGCTGCCGGTTCCGTCAATGCCCGGGCCGCCCAGCCATTCTCCGGGCTCTTCAACACCTTCGGAAGCGGCGGCGGAGCCGCAGGCGGCGGCGGCGGCGGCCGGCCCAACGGCGGCAGCGGCACCGCCGCCGCCGCCAGCGGTCCCCGTCGCATCACCTCCGGCCGCCCTGGCAGTGGCCGCGGGCCTCAGCTGCTCCCCCCGGGGGGCGATCACTCGTCCACATCCACGGCGGGTGGGGGACCGCCCTCGGTGGGGTTGGAAGCCAGCGGCACGGCGTCTTCTAGATTCTTCCCTGGGGCGGCGGGGGGGGCCGCGGCGGGGGGAGGGAGTGGGGGTGTAGGCCCCGGGGGGGCGGGGCCAGCCAGGCGCGGAAATCGGTCGGTGGTTATGGCGGCGAGCGTGGGGGGCGGCGGGGGCGGAGGGGAGGGTGGAGGTGGGGGACACGGTGGTGACGCTGCGAGTGGCGGCTGAGGGGGTTTAGGGGGCGGGCAGGGAGGCAAAGGCGGGCAGGGAGGGAGGAGCTGTGCAGGTTGTTAGGTGCATGTGTGTGTGTGTGTGTGTGTGTGCGTGTGTGTGTTGGGTGCCGAGGGCGGACGAGTCGCCAAGCACGTCTTTTTTGGGCTATAGCGGGTGGGCGGGTGGGGCGCCGGGTGGTATGACGTTACGTCCTTCAAGCGGTACATGTGTGTGTGTACATCAAGTCATCGAGTTGTCCTCCGGCCGCAGGTACCCGGGGTGACCAGTGGGGGGGGCCCCCGCAGGTATACAGGCAACTAACCCCCATGTCAGTGGGGTGTGTGTGTGGAAATTCAGTGTGTGTGTACGTATGACTTAGATTACACTGTGGACCGCGAGAGCCTGGGGCCGAAGCCGAAACACAGCGCAAGGGTCGGCAGCACACAGCACAAGTCGGTTAGTCTTGTGTGCTCCCGACCCCGACTCAGACTGCCAACGTACATATGTATGTATGTGCGCTTGCGAGTGCAGTGTGTGTTGTGTATTTATGTGTATGTATGTGTTTTTCTGTGTGTGTGTGAAGTGCATGAATCAACCCAGTTAGTTCAGTTCGGTCAGTTCCCGGGTTCCACAAAGCTGGCACCTCTGCCGTACATGGCGGCGGCGTGACCATGCAGGAGTCCTCATAATCACATCGCCCTGTCGACTCGACTCAATGTACGGCAGGTGTCGCTGCGCGTGTGCGTATGTATGCATGTATGTACATGTATGTATGTGTGTATGTATGTGTATGCTCTTGAAGCATCAGAACACGCCCCGCCGTGCGCCGTGCTGACGACTAAGCAGCAGCAGCAGCAAACGCGACACTTTTACCTTAACCGGTGACAGTTGGCGGTTAATCAGTTGTCGTACGCATTTCATTTCATCTCCTTCAACTAATACCGGTAGAGATGGTCACCCCGCCCAAACCCCTGTTGGCGATACTCACACACACATGCAACACACGACACGCAAGCATGTACGACTGTGCGGGTGGCGCGGTGGGGTGTAGTACTTGGTGTCCTTACATGCCACCTCGGATTTCCATTTCCCGCGACCATGCGCCGGTCTGATCGTGTCCCTCGCTGCGGTCACTTGCCCAGGAACAGCAGCAGATGACGGTGTGTGGTAAACTGAACGCGATGTGTGGGCGCATGTGTAGAAGCCGTGTCACAGACAAGTAGGCGAAGGACAGGAGCCACTTCTCAGCTGGCACAGTCTTGTCGCCTCGCGCGAGCAAGAACGCGACCAAGACCTTCCCCTTTATTCCCCTTTGTTCCCGGGGCCTGGCCCCCTCGTCCCTAAATGGAGTGATGGCTTGGGGCGACGCCGGGGACAACAGGCGGAATGTGTTTAGTGAGAACTGACGAAGACTGAGTAGGCAGTCCAGGCGGGCATGGCGTCATGGCTGTCTGCTGGGGCTCTTTTCCCATACATGATGGAAGAAGAAGAAGAAGAAGAAGTAACATCACAGCCTTGTTTTCCCTCTACAGAAGAGAACGTCACATGAATTACATTTACACAAAATATCGCCAATCTCTCCTCTCTCCTTTTTATCTCTCTCTCCCTTTCTTTTTTCTTTAAATACAACTTCATGACCGACCGTCGTAGTGAACACGACAATGAGCCACTAATACAACAGAATAGAATTTTCGTTCAACATTCGCCCGTACGGCTTCTAAACCCAAACGCCTAAATGGTGAAAGAACATCAAGCCCTCTCGTATCTCCCCGCGACGCACACGTCCACTTACATAAAAAAAACCACACCACATGTAAGGAAGCACAAATACATCTGTCTTCCCCCTTCCCCTTTTGCCGTACGAGCACATGCACGTACAACGTACATTCGACTACATAAAGCAATTTATGGCCTTTGTGTGATCCTTGCTTGGAATGAGCAACTCGTACAAAATGACGTGAAGACACACGTATACATACATACATACATACATACACCTCTTCCCTCAGACATGTGCACACGAGCGACCCCACTACGGGATTACGGGCCACCGATGCTTAAAAACTTGGAAAAAAACCGCGCAGTTCCCAGACGATTTCGGCTCCACTTTCATTCAGACACTGACACAACTCCCGCCCTCCCAGCGCCACGGAAACTCAGGATAACACTATCGCGCAAATTGGGATCGACGTTGAGGGGGAGGGGGAGGGGGAGGGAGGGGTTACGGGGAGGCAAGTAAAGGCCGTTAAGGGGGTCGGACAGCTCTCCTCCTCCTCCGCCTTGAAAGCGGCCGCGGAGCCCCGGGGGATAGTCGTTGCCACCGTTGCATATCGAAAGGGCTGCCCAAATCCGGACATTTCCGCGACTCGACCTCATTTTTGGAGGACGTGTGTGAAATAATTAAGCACGGCTGCCCCCCGAAGGGTCCCGGAAGGCCAGGGGGATCCTCTCTCTCTCTCTCGCTGTGTGAGTGGGGTTGTGTGTGGGTGTGTGTGGCGCAAAACCAGAGGTACAGGTAGCCGAGTCATGCCCGGGGCCGAAACGATCATATAATCTGCAGAACCCAAATAAGACAGTACCGATTACACCCCCACATCACATCCTTTCAACCCCCGAACGCAGCAGACCGAAACACAAACACAGACACGGGGAAGCGCGCAGAGAAAGCGCATGGCACGATGCTCCTGTCAAAGACGCGCATGCACGCACACGCGCACATGCACACACGCACACACACGCATAAGCACGCATACACAGCACAAAACGCACACATATGCACATACGCGCACACATATGCACACACACATGCATGCACACACGCACACACACGCGCATCAAATTGATATTCCAGGCGCCACCCAAACAGCCATTGGACGGTTCTCCTTCCCTTCAAACGATAACGCGGCTACTCTGTCGCAAGATTTGAACGACATCTTGGTTGGACACGCACAACCCGAACAACGGCAGACAACGGCAGTTAGTACGACAGCCGTCTGGTACTCCCAACCAACCAACCAATGCTCCAGAACCTCCACCCGGTCCTCCTCTTCCTCATGCTGCCAATGGAGGCCTCATTTCTTCCTCTGCGGCACCGCGGTCACCGCGGCTGTGTCGGCGGCGGGGTTGGCTGCAGCAGCGGGGTTGGCGGGGTTGGCGGCAGCGGACGACGCGTTGGCGGGGCCGGCCGCTGCCGCTGCCGCGGAGTTCCCGTTCGTCGCCGTCGCCGGCAACGCCGTTGGCAGTGCCGTACCGGCCAGGGCTGTCGCCGCGGCGGCGAAGGAGCCCGCTGGGGCTGGGGCGGCGCTAATCCCCGGCAGCGGACCCGGGATGGGAGTCGTGGCCGTAATCTCAATGCTCGTCAAGTTGGCGTAGTCGGCCTGGAGGTTGCAGCACTCAGGGTTTCAGGTCTTGCAATTTCAGATTTCACGGAGCATGCGCTCCGGCTTAACACCAAAGAAAAAAATGCACGACAGCGGCAACAACAACAACAACAACGACTTCTTGGCGCATTACAGCTATATATACACACATTGCCCTACTACATTGCGCTTCACCCGTACATATTCCTACGCGTGCCGGCAGCCGGGAGCTTCCTTCCTACTCGCTGCTACAGAGGCATGCTACAATGCTACAATGCTACAATGCTACAGAGGCAAATTGGGTCCCCTTCCCCAAGCTGTCCAGTTCCCTTCATAGCGCGGTGCTCCACAGCGCGGTGGCATGGGAACAGCCCCCACCCCCACGGCCGCATATGTCCCCGCACTATACACACATATGTACCCCATACGCACATATGTACCCCACCAGCCCACCACCCATCTTCCTTCTCACCCTTTTCTCCTCCCTCCATCCGCCCCACCCCCACCCCACCCACCTTGGAAAACACAGGAGGCGGGAACAGCACGCGGTTCACGGAGTGCGCCACACCGTTGGACCCAATGAGGTCCGACTCCACGAGCTGGGTGGGGTGGGGAATCATTAAGATGGGGGATCGGAGCGGGGGAGACGGTGGGTGAGTGGGCAGGGGGCAGGAAGGGGATATGTAGGAAGGCGGTTAATGATATGGGTGGAAAAGAACTGTCTAAACCCCACCGGCAACATGAGAGGCTGTGTGTGTATGTATGTATGTATGTGTGTATGTATGTGTGTATGTGTGAGGGGGATAAACGGGATTTCTTGTTTCGCGCAGGTGAGGCAGCTCAGGCGTGGAAAGGCGGCTGTTAGGATTATTTCTTTTTCCGCTTGTTCCTGTGTTCTGTGTTTCGTTGATTTCACCACCTTGCTGCATTGAATGCCGCTGTCCGCGGCGCAGCTGCATCGCTCGCACGTGCGCTGGCAGAAGCCGCCCTGCCACTGGGCCGCCAGAGCCGAGGTCATGAAAGGAAAGAAGCACTTCTCGAACTTCTTCTGGTCCTCGCAAGTGTAATTGTCTGCACCGCAAATGTTACCAGGACGGGTGAAGGTGAATGGGCAGAAGGCCAAGTGAGCGAGTGAGTCAGTTACCCCTGACTTCAGGTGCAATGGAGTGGGCAATGGAGATTGGGAGTGAGAGGCTGTGAGAGGCCACAACCTGTGAAGCCTGCACCTAAGCACCGGCTGCCAGCCATTAAGTAACGCATTTTGGACCATTTGGTCATGCTTGCTGGACGATGATAGCAGCGATATCAAGGCACAGGAGAACGATGTTTTGCGTAGTGAGACGCACCTCCACCCTTCTCCCTCTCTCTCACTCTCTTTCTCTCTCTCTACCGCTCGTCCAACGTACCCGGGGTGGGTTTGTCCACGCAGTTGTCATGGAGCATCATAGACCCCTCCGTCATGCAGGGGTCGTTGAAGGGGATGATCTCAACTCCGCGAGCCGTCCAGATGGGCGTGTTGTTGAACATGTACTCTGATTTACATTTCCATATCCAAAAACGACATGGGGGGAAATTACGGCGTCCGGGGATTCCGCGTTAGGCCACAGTCACATTTTCGGAAGTTAGGAACTCGCGATGGAGAAACGCGTGAGCCAAGCAGGATTGGATTGCATCGCCTTCATAATTGTTTATCCTTATATTTGATTGACGAATCAAGTCGTATTTGCGCGTTCCCTGTGCCCCATCACCTCCCGTCCCGTCAAATCCCACCCCTTCCCATTCTCCTCCCCCTTCCCCTCCTCCTCCTCCTCCCCCTCCCCCGCCCCCATCCCCTCCCCAGCTGATCCTTGTTGCCCCTTGATGCCGCTCGGATCCGCAGTTGCCGATCCACGCACCTGTGGTGTACATGCCCGGAATGACGTGGTACTGCAAGATGTCCGGGAGCTCAGGCAGGCGGTAGAAGGTTTCAATGGGCAACCGCCGACCGTTGCCGAGCTGCCGCAACAGCACCTCGAACGACTCGTCCGTGGGCGCCATAACCTGATTCATATTTTACGGATTCAGGGAATATCGATACATTCGATCATATCTATTACTTATATATTTATCAATTTATTATTATATGTTATTTTGTTATTTATTATCTCACGATTAGGAATCAGAAGCAGCACCGCAACAAATTTTAACGCATCGCGCGTGCAGCTGCCCGTAAAAGGCTGACACTGTGTTTATCGCTCCACGAATGGAGCAGTTTTAGACCCACAGCAACCGAAAGAAACCGTCCAAGGAAGAATGAATATGCACCGACGCAACGAAGGATGAGCAACAATTCAATTCGCGCAACGTTTTTCTGGGGGGGGAGAGGAGGAGGAGACAAGTGAGCTAAGCGCTCGGATAGTACCGTGAATGGGCCGGCTGGGGGGATACCGGCGGGCGGCGGTGGCGGCGGCGGCGGGGGAGGAGGCGGCGGCGGCAGCTTGGAGCGATCCTGCGTCGCGCAGATCAGACCGAGGAAGATCAGACAGGACTGCGGTTCACAATCCTAGGAAAGGAGGCGCCGATGAACGGATGAGCGTGCAGGAAAGACCTTTCACTGTATCCTGGAAGCTAGTTAATCGCGAGGAGATAGGAATGCAGCACACCACGCAGCACACCGCAAGACGCAAAGCATAGCACAGTACGGCACAGTACGGCAACAGGTAGAGCTAGCACCACCACACACCAGCTGGTAGAAATGCCACCGTGCAGTCGAATGGTCCTTCGGAATAAAGACGCTTTTCAATTTCCCTATCAAACAATGTCCCCAGCATGGCAAAATCCGGGTTTTCGCCGCATGTGCGTAGGATTGGGGGAAGGTGTGCGTACGGAATAAGGGCCTCACCACTCCGAAACCGAACCACCAGGGAAATTGCGGCGCCACTTCGATTTGCTCCTTGGGCTTCGGTCTCTCCGGCATCTTGTAGTCGGGGGAGGAGGCGGAGGTGAGCTGCTTGTCCAGACCCGTGGTCTGCGGGTAGGGGAGGAAGTGGAGGCGGGGGGGAGGAAGTGGAGGCGGGGGGGAGGAAGTGGAGGCGGGGGGGAGGAAGTGGAGGCGGGGGGGAGGAGTTTGGAGGTATGGAAAGGGAAGGGAACGGAGCGCCGGATAGGAATACGGTGCGCGGCAAACAACCCCTGCTGAAGACGGCGGCGGAGGGAAGGGACGGGAGGGGACAGTGTGGGGATCACACACCCTAATGGGGGGGGCACAACACACACACCCCTCGCATTCCCCCGCCGTCATCTCCGGTTCATCCGTGACCTCATCTGTCAGCTCTTGCCCGCACCTCACCTCCTTAAGGGTGCACATACATACATACATAAATAACATTTATACATAAATACGTACATACATAAATAAATACACAAACACACACACGCCTCGTCGCGGCTCATTTGAAGCGCATCACACGCACTTGCAGAGCGTCCAGAAAGATCTTATGGCGACCTGTGCTTCGGAGCACCGTCAGCACGTCGTCCATCTCACTGATGCTGACGTAAGAGCCGTCCTCGGACAGGTGCAGCGCGGACCCCATGGTGGCGTCGGCCCATTTCGCGGTCGCTATCAAGGTTCCGTTAGGGTCGAACAAGTTCACCTCGTCTCTGCAGTTTGCGGTTAGTTTGTTAGGTAGTTAGTTGGGGTGCGGTGTAAAGGTGAAACCATGTGATGACGCTGCTGGTCACAGCAGGAAAGGTCACAACAGAAAATGTCAATCACAAAACAGCTCCCTCGTAAAGATATACAAACATACAAACACCCAAAACTTAATGTACCTGAAGCTGAGGCTAAAGGGAAAGCCGCAGGGTCCGCTGTCGTTCTTGGGCTTGAGCTCCAGCGTGCGGGAGGGTTCAATGGTGTAGTTGCCGGGCCCGTCGCAAGGCGGGGCGCCCATCACCAAGTTCATTGCTGCCGGCACGGAGCGAGTGTCGCTGTCCGTGAGCCGCCAGCCGGTCAGGTTGGCGGTCTGGCCGCCAATGTTGCGCAGTACAATGAGCGGCGTGGCGCCGGCGGCGGGGTACGGCACAATGCGGTCGATGACGACCTTCGCCGGCGTCTTGCCCTGGCACAGTTTAGGAGTGTCTTGTTCATCGTCGCCAAGATTTGCAGAAGGAGAAGCGGCAGGGAGGTCGAAGGCGGTCGAATCGAAACCGAGGTCAGGACCGGCAGAGTCGGCGCCGGGCCCCGCGGAGTCGCCGTCGTCCTGCAACGAGAGCGTGGTCGCTGCGCCACGAATGGAGCTGGGAGCGAGGCCAGCGGGGCCGGCAGCCCCAGCGGGGCCGGCAGCCCCAGCGGCGCCGGCAGCCCCAGCGGCGCCGGCGGCGCCGGCGGCGCCGGCGGCGCCGGCAGTGCGGGCGGCGCCGGCGGCGGCACCAGCTGCGCCGCCCCTGCTGGCGGCACCTCCGGCGCCAGCGGCAATAGCAGCGCCGGCCTTAGGCGCAGCCGATGCAGCGGCAGAGGCCTTAGATAGTCGCGGCGGTGGTAGTTGGTAGCACATTTGCGAGCAGGGTTGGAAAAAAGCATGTATAATACTTAAAAAAAACCGGAGGGTCAGAGTGGGCAGTGGGTTTCCATCATCAGGTGCGGACACAGCTCATAGCGTTGGCGAGCCATAGTGTATTCACACACCGTACATCGTACACACGTACACATGTACACCGTACACACCGACCACACGGCGCATTCAGACGGTCACCCATGACATCTAACAATTTGAACGACCCGCGTGTGTACGACTGCTGGTAGAAGTGGCCACAGACTAATCGTGGCTGTGGAGAACTGCGGGACCGCACACATACCGGCGGGATAGCGGGGCCGGTCGCTGACGCTGCCCCGGCCGGCCGCGCGGCGGCGGCACCGGGGCCGGCGGGGACAGCGGCGGCGGCAGCACCAGCGCCGGCGGGGACAGCGGCGGCGGCGGTAGTGGTCGCAGCCGGGAGGGCGGTTGCGGGCTTGGCGGCAAACTGCGCCCAGGTGCCTAGGGCAGTTGACGCCAGCACTGCCACGAGCAGGACAGCCCCGGCGCGGTGCCAACCCAGGAGCGATGACATGAACGAGGACTCCTTGCGGCTGGCGGCGGCACGGGTGCCTGCGGCCATTGCCGGCTTGCCCGGCTTTGGTGACATGGTCCTCTAGACGAAATAGAGGCGAGCTCGGGGGATAGAACTCCTCTGCTGCCGCTTATATGCGTTCAAGTACTGGTGGTAGTGCTACTGCCCCTGTTACTGCTCTGCAACAGTTACTTGGGCTGCTGCTTTCTCTACTGTGGAAAGTTGTGGCAATTTTGAACAGTCAAAAGTGTGCCTGTTGTGTGAAAGCAAAGACGCAGCTGTGTGGTGGGAGAAAGGGGTGTAGGGTTTGGCTGGAGGAGAGGGGTTCAGGGCCCCCACCGGCCCGCGACACGGCGATTAAGGGGAAGGACCCCAGATATGGACCGACCACTAAAAGCGTAGCTGCACACCGTGACCGCCTCAAAATACTTGGTGTAAATTACTGACACCAAGACATATGACTATACAACTTTACAATGGTTATATTTACTACTGCGTTTGCTTTGACATGCAAATGGATGGTGCGCACATATAGGGGGCTTTGTGGTTGATGCGTTCGGGCTTTGCCAAAGGCAGATTGACAGGTGCAATTTTTGATGGGTCGATTTGATGGACCGCAAGTCAGTCTGACACCTTGCGGTGAGAGCTGCTTTTCAAAAAAGCAGATAGGTAAGTATGGGAACCTCTGATGACCTTGTTCCTACTGATGGTTTAGGGATCGTGTATAAGTTCATATCAGATGCGTTAGCTCATGCTGCTCTTGAGAGCACTTCCGCACGTAGAAGGACACTTTGCATGCTGCGGACTTTCAAGTATGACAATGCAACCAACGGAGCACACAGAGCAACAAATCCATAACGCTTAAGGCTAGAAGTGCTGCGTGGGTATGATATCTGAAAAACGAAGCATCCTCGCCGGCTTGGTTTATGCATTAAGGCTTGCAAGTCCGCATCGCGTCTCGTAGCAGTCTTTAAACAACCACTCTAATGGACAACCTCTGAAGTCAATATTTGCGTTATGCTTATTAAAAACAGTGTTTTTTTGTGCTGCCAAGAGCGCTACCAACAAAGCAGTATCACGATTTACAATTTACTGACCCATGGGTCGCAAGTTGTGCCGCGTTGACGTCACGACCATTTGCGGTTGCGTCAATGCTGCTTTGCCGTATAGACATAGACAGCCCTCAAATGTTAATTCATTAGCCGAGAGGTCTTGCTGGAGGCCAGAATCTTGTTCAACCGGTGGTTACCCGCAACAACGGTTCTACATATTACGAAGCAAACCTTTCCAATTGCGACTGTTCCAACTGCAAGAAAAAAATGGCGAGCATGGATCAGAAAAACGAGTAAGTCTGCATGCTTACGTTTCCAAGTCTCCGTGCGTTTTGCGGTTACGCGCATCTTGTTGTTACAGTGCAACCTTAAGATGGTATCTGTCAAGCTGGTAGCTGTCAGCTTGTTCTCGAACGACGAGAGATTTTACAAGAGCATGACAAGGACGTACCGCAGCTCAACCGTTGAATTCTCTTCCTGCTGCTCCTGCCGCTGCTGCTGTTGGTGCTAGTGTTTGGTGTAACGTGCATACAGAAGGCCAAAGCGGCAGCAATGCAAATTTCTCGCAGCAAATTATGCCATGTGCCCCGCACACATGACAACATCAAGTTACCTGGTGTCATGGCGACACACGTCCCCTCGACACCGCCCTCGTGATTGCGTCGTCGCCTTCATCTGCTCTGTTTTGCAAAGCTGTGCAAAGCAAGCGCACGGCGCACGCCGCTCGGCGCCTCCTCCCATAAAGATCTCCATCCCCAATACTAATAATGCGCCACCCAGGTTCCAGCCCCAGCCCCCGCCTGTGTCTGCAAACCCCACCCCCGCTCCCCACGGGGCCATACACACAAGATATAGCCCAAGACGTACTGATCTGCTGACACGTAGGGTAGCTCAGGAGAAGTACGGCAAGGACTTTGAGGAGCTAAGCAGCCGCGAGCGCCAGAGCGTCGGCGGCACCATTGGGGGCAACACTCGCAAGGTGCTTCATATGTATATATATATGTGTGTGTGCATATACATACATATGTACGGCTGGTGTTATGTAATAATAAGGCATTATGTACAATCCGCACAACCTGCACAAAAGCATGTGTAAATCACCACGTTCCCCTCTCGTACACCAGCAAGGTAAGCAAAACCAAATAAGCAATTATCAAAATCAAGCCCGACTCGTCACCTTTCTCATCACGCACATCGCACATCTATGCGTGTCCCTCCCTCCCTCGTCTTCGTCAGGAGCAGCTGGGAACGGAGGGCTACAAGGAGATGGGAAAGCAAGGCGGCCAGGTGAGTGTGGGGTTTTTGGAGTTTTAGGGTTTTTAAAGCGCCCAAAGTTGTAATCAATCCGATAAGTCCGCAAGGTTTGTCAACCTTTTGAAAACCTCGTTTGACATGATCGGATCCATTGCGAACAGGATATACTCGCGTGACGTAATGATAATGTCAGGAAAGGTTATTTCCTATCCCCTGATTTTTATAGTATGTATGCTGGTTCTTTATCGTATGCTGCTAGCATTGATGTGCAACAAATACTGCTCCTGTTGCTACTGCTGATGTTGCTACTGCTGATGTTGCTACTGCTGATGTTGCTACTGCTGATGCTGCTACTGTTGCTGCTGCGACTGCTGATGCTGCTGCTACTGCTTTTGCTGTTGCTGTTGCTGCTGCTTCAGGTCACCCACGACAGGGCAGAGGAGGAGGAGCAGCTGGAGGAAGGCGAGGGCACCTCCGAGTAGGCTAGGCTGCGACCAGTCGCTTAAAATTGGTGTCGAGGAAGAAGCTAGGGGACTCTTGGAGGCAGGCACCACTGCAAAATATGTATCTTCAATGCCAGCACGACACGGGCTGCTCTATCTTGGATAGGGGAAGAGCTTTCTCTTGCTTCTGAAGCACCTCGCGCACATACAGACATACAGACATGTACATTGTAGGTGGCCGTTTGTGGGGTTCGGGGCGATGGTGTCGGGCAGTTGTGGTTGCGGTCGTACAATTGTTGCTTGTTGCTTTATAATATCAAAAGCAATAATATAACGGTGAAGTTGGCGTCGTTGAGGAGGGAGGCAGGAAGGAACAAGGACGTCGTACGACGTCGTACACGTGCGCATGTGTCGTGCGGGTGAAGGCCCAAACAAAGATTTATCATGTCTCGAATGCTTTCAGACATCCCTGTCGGATCTTTTTGTTTTAACCGAATTAGTTAACTGAAAGAAATATGTACTACCCTCATGCGCTGCATACCGTACTGCTACGAATGTTTCGCGCCACACCATTCGTTTTGGGCCATGAAGTGTGTCACAGTGGAAATACGATATGTCCAGCAGTTTGGGAGCTTTGACGCTGTCGCTCCTTGTTGTGGCTTCCCTGGAGCCCCGCGAAATGTGTGTTCATGTAAACAAATGTGTGCCATAAAAACTGACAGCCCTCGCGAATTGGTGTAACAAAACGAAAATTCCAGCTATATTTTTTGGGTACCCGCGAAAGGTGTGGCGCGAAACATTCGTAGCAGTACGGTATCTGCACTTTATTCAACATTGCCGATCTCTTGTCCTACGAATACGGCGGCCTGTGTGTACGGTGTTGTACTGCATCTTGCAAAAGCAGCTCGATAGCAACAAAAAGCAAAAAGCGGCACCCTTACAGCCCTTACAGGATTGCGGCCTGTTGCAGCAGCGCATATATACGCGCGCGATGTGGTTTTCTTGGCATTGGGCGATCAAAAACCGGGCCCCCGGTTGAAGAGCGGATTCGACTTTCCTTGGCTTTTAAAGATCGGTTGCTTGCTTACAGGGAAGCAGGGGGAACTGATGGGAGCTTGGGGAAGAACAGGGAGGGCTCGATATTCCTGTATGTATGTATGTGCCATTGAATTTGGTAGCTGGACGGATCTCGGCCTGACCCGGCGCGTAATTCCTGCTACTAATAGAGAGTGAAGAAGAAAGGTGTGCGGAATTAGTAGACTCGCTCCGTCCATGTAACACATGCACTGCAAAGGCAGTAATTATATTTGGGGTAATTCCCATGCGTAGATAGCAAGGGTAGCGCGCCAACATCCACCACAAATAAAAATCGCCTTGCCGCTTTGAATGGAAGTTGGGAGCGAGGTGGCATATGCAAACGAAGCAAGACATGGAAGTTGAGCGCGTACAAGGAAAGAAGTCCCCTGGTTCGTACCGACTGCCAGACGTCGCCAGCAGATGTATAATTTCCAGGATGCGACCAGCCTTTGCAAATAAGGACAACACCAACGCACAGAGCACCATCTTGCCATAGGAACTCTATATAGCGGCAACTTTCGGCGTTTCTGACGTTCCGACAAAGCGTGAAGGAGAAAGCACAATTTCCGCGAGGAGAGCGCAAGGAGGAAGCAACAACCTCAAAAAACTGAAGGAAAAGATGGGTGCTTCTGAGGAGGAGAAGGACAGGTGCGTCAAGGCTGTGTTGGGCTGTGAGGCCACTGCCTCCCTTTCCATTACGTAGCGCCACGACCACAAAGTCCCACGACCACAGCATAGCCGCGCAAATCTACACGTGAATAAAAGTCCCTCGTAGCTTATTCATAAGGTGTTTCTTGTTCATTTGTCGGGCAGCAGTTAGGTCATCAGGCGCGAAAGGATTCCGGAACTGTTTTTCCGACAAAAACAGTTTAACCCGACGACCCGACGACGACCTGGCAAGCTCGCGCGGTCTCCAAGCATCCAATCTGTCGTTTACATGAAGTCCTTGATTCGTGATGCACAAGAGACAAACACACCTCCTGCAAATCTCCTGCAGGGACCAACCAGATGATTGTTCACCAGCGCCGTAGGCTCGCGAGCAGCAGCTCTTGCTCTCTCTCAACACGCACCATACGCTAGCATACCTAGCGAGAAAATTTGACCATGATTAAAAAGCTGCGCAAAATAATAATGAGGCTGCAGCGCAATTGACGGTAGAGGCAGCTGTCCACGGCACGAGGCTCTTGTACTGCTCTTGTACCTTCCAGCAGTCAGCCGAAGTGCGTCCCAATGCCTTCATTAAATCTTGTGACTTGCGCACCCTGCCGCGCCAATCCCATCTTCCTCCCGCGCGGCGCGCTTTGAGTATGGTGTTGCTGTATTAGGTCATATTGTCACAGCGATCCTTCCTGGAATAGCCACGAGCGCATATCGCATAACCCAAGCGCACTATTTAAATTGGGCGGAGGCCCGACATTGCAGAATTCATGGCCGGCTAGGGTATGTCATTGTTGACCACTTCATTGACTTGACCGCCAATGGAGGGGGGATTTGCTCGCTGTGCATGATATGGCTCCTTTGCACTTCTGCGCCCCGGGCTCGCTGCTATCTGCCCCGTCGTGGCCCCCCGTACGGTACCCCTGACTCCTGCTCGCTACCCAACCCCGCCTTCCTCCTGTCCTGAATGCACTGCTCTTCATTGCGCGTGCTTACAACAAATACACACATACACACGTGCATACATGCATACATACATACATGCATACATGTACACATATGCACGTACAGGGTGTCGATGGAGAAGTTCGGTTGCAAGTTCAGCGAGCTCAAGGACCCCCAGGACCGCATGAGTGTCGGAGGAACCATCGGAGGGAACATGCGCAAGGTGGGAGGGGGGGGGCGCCCCAGGGGTGGGAGGGGTGGGAGGGGTGGGAGGGGTGGGAGGGGTGGGAGGGGTGGGAGGGGTGGGAGGGTACCTGGTCGTTGCCAAACGGAGTCCATACATATATATGTACAGACGAACATCTGTCGGCCCTTGGGCCCTTGGACCCTTGGGTCCCCCTCGGGGCTCCAGGGATGGGGCCCCCAGGTTCCCCCTTTGAAGGGCAGTACAGCAGCACCACGAGACGTAATAGCGCACACACACATACACATACACATACACACACACACACATACACACACACATACATACACACACATACACACACGCGCGCGCGCGCGTACACTTCGATACTAAAGATATTTAATAGTTCTTACTTCGTTCTCTCACGTTGTTGGATAACAACACCGATGGACTGCTGTTCAACTAACTGCTGCTGGTGTTCAACTTGTTAGGCGATTACCGTTACGCCTGCCCACTACACCTTCCTCTCACGGTGCTGTTGGCCTGTTGTTCTGTGTGGGGCTCGAACTCCTATCCTCGGTCATCTGCATGTGTGTGTGTGTGTGTGTGCGGTTGCATGTGGGGCGCATCTGTCTGCAGGCGCAGCTGGGCAGCGAGGGTTACCGGCACCTTCCCGCGCAGAAGAAGGACGAGGAGGGCGAGCAGGGCGAGGAGGAGGAGGACGAGAAGGAGCAGGGCAGACGAGGGGAGGAGGAGGAGATGGGGGTGGAGGAAGAGGAGGAGGAGGAGGAGCAGGGGGAGGAGGAGGAGGAGGAGGAGGAAGGCGGTGGAAAGTAGAGTAGTACCGAAACCCAAGTGGCGCACGACACCACCATCACGGAACCACCTGGAAGCTGATGACCCTCTGATGAAGCAGCAGCATAGGATGTAGGATGTACGGCAGTTGTACGGACGGAGGAACCGAAAAACTGCGCTGTAATCCTTGTGCAGAACCTGTGTGTGGTTATGAGGAGTTGTTGTTACGTTGTCATTTCCATAGAAATTGAATACTGGCGGCTGTAGGTCGAGTGGACATGTAACTCCCTCCTCCTCCCTCGGCGGCAGTTGTCTGTTGGCGTTGCCTAGTTTATGTTTCTAGGTTTTTAGGTTGTGTATCCGAGGGAAAAGGAAGAAGCAGAGAGTAAGATTTGTAAATTATACGCATAACAACATAGCGATCTGGCAGACGGGTTGACAAGCTGCCGGTGGGCCTTTGTTTTCGTACGACATGTCAGATTGCAGCTGAATTGAGCTTTTATTACTGACATGCTGGGCGGGTGCTTGGCTCTCTTCTCCCGTACGCACACATGCACGTGTTGTCGATGCTACTACGGTTATGACCTGGCGCGACATGATATGCTATGTCGGACAGGAGGCGCGGGTGTCCCGGCGTGGCTGTGCATGCGACTCATCATCATCGGCGGGCTGTTGATTTGTGGTTGGTACATGTGTTGGAAAAAAAACGTCAACTGCAATAACCGCAAATAAGCTTCGGCATGTTGTTGTTGAATACCGGATGTGCAACTCACCTAAAAATAGTAAAACAAAAACACAGACACACACACGTCCTTTAAATGGCTCCAAGTCTACACACATAAAAGTGGGAAAAACGCGGATTTGCAGTTCTGCTGGAAATGCGTATCATTATATTATAACACACCCAGCGGTTCCACGATCTGCAAACATAAATGAGGGTTCGATGCAGACCAGCTATTTTTTCACCACTTTCTTAAATGCCCACTACTGCAGCACATGCATGCACGCGTTCCATATCCTCTCCAGCACGAGCACAGGCAAGACGAATTTACCGCTACTGGTAGGCGCGAGGTTATTGTCGTTATCATCAAAAATAGGGGAGAGCCATATCGGCAAACTCATCTCTGCAGGTACCAGTGCTGGTCCAGTCTTAGTATATACCGAGCCAGGAACAAGAACAAACAATAACACCAATTTGGAAGGTATTAGTGAACGTATCGTAAAGAAATGTGCAGTTGGAGGCTGCAGGATAGACCCGCGGGCCGTTGCGTGAAGAGACACGGCACCCAGCAATCCGATTATTTCAAAGCATGATGAGGTTCTGGATTGGTCTGCAAAAGACTTGGCCCGTGTTGGCCACTCTAGCTCGATAACAAATTCATTCAACCGTTTTTCCTTCTAACGTCACCTCGCTCGAGCCCGTAATTTTAGAGAGTCGCGGCGTACTTCGGTAGCTCGTTGTAAGGCCTTTATGAAAACGTAGAATATGCGGCTTGGACTGTTTGAATAGTTGCATGTTGATTAAGTGCTCGTCCTGTAGTGCAGTACGGCAAGTGCGGCGCGGGAAGGCGCAGACCAGAATGGGCCAGAGGACAGGGACTGATACGGTAGTTCGTTACAAAGTTTAGCTGGGAACAAAGCGCTGAATCCAGACAACGCAAGTTCGCCAGTCAACCATGCAAGCAAGCGCAAGTCAGAACGTCGTCTGTTGGGGAGTTTGAATTGTTTAAATAGGGATTTACTTTGTATTCGTGACCCAGCTCAATAGGAAAGTAGATAAGGCGATCCGACGTTGCTGGCATATCGGTCGCCAGTAACAGCGAAGTGATGGCAGAGCGCGAGGAATCGCGCGGCGGAGTCCAAGAAGGCTTGGAGGACATCATTCAACAGCGAGACGAAGGAGGACGTCAGAATGGCGGACCAACTAGTTACCCGGAGGGGGCCGATGCGGTTCATCCGAAGGAGTCTCGCGA